GGGACGGCTAGCGCAGATAGCCCTCGTGTAGCTTTACGTGAAAATTCAAAAACAAACAAAACAATATATATAATTTCCATTGTTTTACACAAACTTTCAAGAACAACCAGTGTGTGAAATTTATTTTGACATACTCTCTTTATGTCTAGAGATAGGATTGAATGTGTTGATTGGCTAATGCCTATGTTTTGCATGCTGAGTTGGAAGAATATGGATAAGTGTGTGTGGTATCTCAGCAATTTGATTGGTTTATGTCATAAGTTTGAAAACAAAAGTGGTGATTCTGTTTGTGGCCTTTGGTACAGTGGGTGACTTAAGCTTGACTGACTAAACTAAAAGATATAGAACGTTCGCATTTTACCACAGGAGAATATAAAAAGTGAAGTCAGAACTCTGAAGGTGAAGTTTATAACCACTTTGCCAAGTGATGTGACCCATGTAACTCATAAAAATCATAGTTTATAAAAAATGAAAAAAAATTACAATTAAAATTAATTGATCAAATCACAATATGAGACTGAAAATAAACAAAAAGTATAAAAAAGCACAGAAACCAGCTACTTAGAACATTAAAAACAAAATTTTAAACATTACAAATAAAGATATAAAAATCAAACCAAAATAAAATGCAAAAGAAACTAATTACAAAACAGATACAAATAATTTCAAAAATACAAAAATAACCAGAATAAAAACACAGTTAACATAAAATATGTGAAATGTACATTATTTATAATTCTGCATGTTATGTTGCAGATATAAGCTGGTCAAGTGTCTTGCTGTCTCTTCTGGATTTAGAGATTTCCTCAGGGTCGTTTCAATTTGGATGTTTTTATGATTTTTTATTTTACAAAAACAATAACAAATGCTTACCTTTGTTGTAAATTTCCATTACAGATGTTAATATATTCCTACATTCTTATATAAATTTCATGCAATGGTTTTATTTTAAAAACTATAGATTTTATCTTCATTTTTATTTCACAAATGTCGTATGCCATTGCACTGTGTTTATGATTACTAGCAAACAATAAGAATAACTTTAATTACAAGATTTTAGTTAATATATGTACGAATTTTTAAACCCATTTTCTATTCATTTATGTCTAGTTTTGCATTTTTTGTTTAATGATTTGCCCATTCAAGCAGTTACTTCAGCCTATGACATCTAATGCAACCATAGCTTGACTGTGTAAATGAAACAAAACTTGATGCCATTAAAGCCAAATGACTTAATTAAACCTACATCATAAATGAAATGAAGTATATAATGATAAAGGGTATTTTTCACAAACATCAAAAACATAAGGAATGTAATTGTGGTGGAAGTTGTTCATAAATATCTTTTCTTCTAGCAACATACTACCATGCTAAACTTTTATTACTTTGTTTTGATCTACATCCAAGTCTTTGCTGAAGTCATATTGGAATATACAATTGTAAAGAATGTAAACAAGCTTTCCATACATGTTTTGAGCACTAGCTTATGGTCTCTCAAAGCTAAGATATAGGCAGTGTACACACTATGACAACTGAGGTAGAAAACAGTAATTGGCTAAAATTGATTAAACTACATTTCTATTGAAGTTACAAGGTTCAAATTAGCACTATTTTGTTCAAAACTACTTCAAATTTCCTCCTATGGGTTATGAGTTGTATATTATGCTCAGGAAAAATTCAGTAAATATAGAAACATTAAGGTTTTTATTCAGAGCATGCTATAATCAACCCAAAATTAAAATTTTAATTTTTATAAAACTTATAATGTCTTAAATTAAATAAATACAACTTTTTTGTAGAATACATTTTTACTGTGAAGAAATTTTTGAATGTGTGGAAGAATGATTACAAGTGTTTCTATAATGTTTTTAATTCAGCGATGCAGTCTTTTTCAAGGCAATATGCACCCATTTGGCACCATAAAATTAAATGATGATGATGATGCAGTCAGTACCTCACTTTCAACTTCTCTACTACTGTACAGCTGAGAGTCTGTGAACATTTGGGGAGGCCCTCATCTTTTTTTTTTAAGATCCAGAGATGTACACATCCTTATTAATGTGGCTTCCTCAAGCTAAAGTAATTCATCACACATTATCATTTCCATTATAATCATTTGACTGCCGACACAGTGATCTTTTTTCCAGAAGCCCAGACACGTGCATCCTTATGCAAAATGACATGACATGTAAGAATATGCATCATCATCACATTCTATTTCAACCTCAGCTGCCAAACTTAGTATTGAAAAGTCCTCTACTTTAGAGAGAACAGGACATACACATCCTGATGAATTATATGTTCTTAGATAAAGTATTGTGGTACATGTAATTCAGCATCATTGTAATGACGAGATTCGTCATCGTCACATTCTTCTTCAACTTCAGCCACTAGACATGCATGGTCTCAGGGCATTGTCAGTGTGCCTTACTGGCCTGGAAAGCTCCTAACTAACTTCAAGATTGGTTTATGTACATGGGTTTATATTTACGAGTTTGTCACCCACAAATAAAGTTAATCAATTATGAAATAAGGCTATGAATAAAGTTAATATAATGGAAAAACAGGTAGTTAAAAAATAATTTGTAAATGTGGAAGCATACACATAGGTCAGCCTAAAAGGAGTCTCAAATATAGAGTGGATGGCAAAAGCTAAAATTAAAAATAATAAAATGGATATATTATCATTAGCCAAACATGTTAGTATATCACAAAATATCATTCAAGAGGAAAAACTGCTATAAGCTCATTCTAAAAATGACAGAACCAGAAATATTTGTGTAACATTGGAGATAATTTTATTTAAGAAAAATAATAATATATTAAACAAGGATGAGGAATTAATGAACAGAATGTAAGGAGACTGCACGATATTCTGTAAAAAAAAAAACTATACCACAAATAGTGCAGCGTTCTTGCAACTTGCGGTCCTGAAGATCATGTGTTGATCATCAAAACATGGAGAGTATATTTGATATTGTAGATCAGTCTCAAGTAAAATGACTTTTATCGTGTAAACCAAAAATTGTTTTTAATTTTGTTTTATTAAAACTAACTGCCAGTGTCAATGTACACTGTTTCGTGATCTAAAATTTCACCATATATATTATAAATATGCATAAATACATTAAATTACACATTTACTAATGACATTTTGGCATGTCATAGTATACTCTTATTCTGCCGTGTAACATGTTGCATTAAAGATTTTCTGCATTTAAATTGAAATGACTATCTAAGTAATAGCAAAGAAACTACATCCCACAACAACTGTTTATATCATAATAAATGAACATAATTGAGTAAAACTACAGAGTAAGTGATAATCAAAGCATGTCTGAAGAGTTTACAAAAAAGAAATAAAAACCAAATAAATTATTTTAAAATGTAATGTTTATCTAGATGTGTGTACAAAGCAAAAGTGTGCTAGTGTGCAGTGCCATCTCCTGACTATGAAATGACTTTTCTACATTAGTATGCTAAAAGTAATGTACCCCCTTTTAATTCATTATCTGGCAACAAAATTATTAATAGATACCTGTATTATGGTTGTCTCAAAACATAGAAGTATGACTTTCCAAATTTCCCATGTTCTTACCATTTGTCATTCATGCAGTTATTGCTGTGTGTGTGTATGTTTATATATATACACATACAAAAAAAGAAAGCTAAGAACTTTTTCAGTAATTGCATAATCAACATTTTTTTTATGACACAACAATGCTATTGTGCTAGAAGTACATATATCTAGTCTAGTTTGTGTAGAAGAATTAACCAAGAAAAGCATTATAATCTAAATATTTTCATAGAGCCAGAAATGATGCTAGTGATGGAGTTCGTTGAGAAAGGCTCTCTCTTGGCATATCTAAACATGTACAAAGACCACTTGACACATCAGCAGCTACTGAAATTTGCATCAGATGTGGCTGAGGTAGGACTTAGAATTTATAACTGTTAGTTGCTTTTCTTTTCTCCTCCATTAATGTGTATTTTACTTGATTAATTACCAATTAATCTGATCAGTGATATATTTTTAATATAATGGGGAAAATGGATTGTAGTAGTAAGAATATTATTAATTTGAAGACATGAAACAACCTAGAAAATTAGCATGATAAAAACTATTTAATTATACGTGAAAGAGAAATAGTGTTTGAAATGAAAAACAAAATAGTAAAACAAAAAATGTACTAAGAAAATAAAACTTATTTTTAATTAAAACATACTTTTATAACATTTGTATTGATATTAAGTTATAGCCTTACTGAAAACTGGCCTTTTAGAAAACAGCATCTGATAAATATTGAATGGTGGCTGGATTTGAACCATTTTCACAATAATGGCCAAGTATGAGGATACCCTTCTCCTGATGGGGTTTTCTTATTTATATAGTTGGAAACAGTTAGTAAAAGAAATTTCAAACCCTAAAAATGATGTATTTTAATTACAATTTTTATAGGAAAACAATTTAAAAGCTTTCAAAGTAATCTATGTTGTTAAAAAATGTAAATTATCCAGTTAATACATTTCCAAGAATGCAAACTCACTTTAAAAATAAATATTAGATATGTACTTATTTGAGCGTGTATTATACTTGAAATGATAAGCAGTGTTTAGTTATGTACTTTGTTTTCAGCCAGGATGTATCTTGAGTTATGGATCAACAATGGTCAACTTTATATTCTTTTTTTTTTTTTTTTGGTATTTAGAAATTTGTTATAACATTTAAATTAACAAGTGTCTTGTGTTAAAAAGATTAAACTGTATATTTATATTTCCTCAACTACGTCCTGTACCTTCAAGCTTGAGCAGTATTTTAGAGATATAGATTGAGTGGAGAATCTCTAAAATGTAAGTTTATCACTTGAAGTATGTTACTAAGAAAATCCACTTGTATAGTTTAAATTTGATGCCAGTCAGTATGTGTACCAGCTCTTACAGTGTTTGTATTCATAAAGTAGCAGTAAAGTAAGTTAGAATTGTTCTTTGTCACAGTAAGAATAAAATAAAAGACAGACTTTTAGTAATAAGTGTCCAGTAATGATGCAAATACATGTATTTTTAATTAATCTATATAACTAGGGAATGGAATATCTTGAACAGAAGAAAATTGTTCACAGAGATCTGGCTGCAAGAAATATTTTAGTTGCCTCAAAAGATCTAGTTAAGATAAGTGATTTTGGTTTGGCACAGTTTACAGAAGGATATTATTATTGGATGAAGACAGAAAGAAATCTACCAATACGTTGGTATGCCTGCTATAATAATATTTTAAATTGTGCATTTTAAAGAATTAACTAGAAATGTTTATGATAATGCTTCTTCCTGTGTTTTATGTATAAGTAAAAAATTATAACACACTGTTAAAGAATTATAAATAGTATATTAATTTTTATTTATAGCTGTGTAATGTCCTTTATTATGTCATCTTTAATATAACTTGTAAAAGTTATTTGAAATTCACGACATTACTGAAAACTGTAGTAGTGAATGGTTGTGAAAAAGACTGTAAGATTCATAATATATGTAGATAATTAATGCATAATTTTAGGAGTTACTTGCACAATGTGGATATGATCCGAGGCCAGAAATGTTTTTGCTTAATCTATGCTTTTGCTATAGTGTTACTTCACTATTGTTAGCTAATAGTCTTTGTACTTTTTTTGAAGTATTAGCTTTTAATATTTGAATTAAATAGAATAAAACTAGAATAAAGTTTGAAAGGTTTAGTCAAAGTAGCTAAAATTTTAAATAATTTTAATTATAATGGTCAAATGGTTCATTAATAGCAATACTCAACTAATGAAACAATGCATTATAATCTTTATAAGTAGGGGTGTAAAAATGGTGGAATTGGATAGCTCTAATGATTGCCAGATTGACTTGTGGTGTCAATTTGAATAATTAGCTTGTTTTAAGTGAAAGTTTCTTTTAACTAAATTGTTTAAAAAACACTTGATTGTTGAATTTTAATTGCTTATCTTAGTGTATGTTAGTATTGTTGATACTATTTATTTTCTTCTACTATAGGTATTCTCCAGAGAGTATCAATCTTGGAAAATTTTCTCACAAGTCTGATGTGTGGAGTTTTGGTGTCACTCTTTGGGAAATGTTTTCTTTTGGGGAAAATCCGCAGATTGATGGTGTGAAAGATAATGAGCTAGCGGAAGCTTTAAACCAAGGAAAAAGACTTTGTTGTCCAAAAAATTGTCCAGTGTATGTATATCAGCTAATGTTGTCCTGTTGGCAGGGAGAATCACAAGAACGGCCAAATTTTTCAAATATTCGCAATCAAATAGAAGACCTTAAAGAACAACTGTGAGATCTTGACATTATAGCTCATCTGTCAAATATATGGTCACAGAATATACAGTTGATCACTAGCAGTATTTAAAAATGTGATTTGAACATTGTAACTGTTTTCTGAGTTTTTGTCCAATGCTTGATTTTCAAGGTTGTTACATAATATATGCTTAGTACAATTTATGTCTGTCTGTTGGAAATAATAACTGTTAAACTGGATGAATTAAAGGTTTGTTTCATATGCTATTATTTTTCTAATTTGCTCATACATTATGCAGTGTGTTGTAACATAGTTTATTTTTAAGGTTATTACTATTATTAATGTGTTTGCACTCTATATGATAGTTTCTAAAATGTAATTACAGACTGAAGTAACAGTATTCAAACATTGAATATATAGCAATCACAATAAACAATTTAATAAATAGTAATTACAGAAGTTTGGTGAGAATCTTCAAACTGAAAGTAATGAATGAGGCATAATTTCTTAGTTTTCCTACATTTGTTGTTTTATGTTGCAAATAAATCCTTGAAACAATTATGAAGTCAATTTTGGAAGTAATAAATGATTATTAAATTCTATAACAAAATAACTGAAATTGTATAAAAAAATTCAGAAGCTCACTAGTGATCTTGAAATGGTTTGTCTCAGTTTCAGAGCTTCAAAAAATCAGTCTCTTGGATAAAACGCTTTACAGAAGCTTTGGTACAATATTTACTTTAGCTCGAACCTGTGCTTTAGCTATACCTTAATACCCTTTGTGTATTTTTGGTTACCTTATACCATAATGTTTTAAAAAATTTTCAATATTAATATTATTGGTGTAATTACTATTTTAAATTTCTATTCTTTGTCAGTCAGGTTATATCCTCTATCACTCTTATAAAAAAGGTTTTTAATTTTTTTAACAACATAATATCAAGTAAATTCTTGACTACAAGGACCAACAACTTGAGATGTTAAACAGGTGGTTCCTAAAACGTTTGTGCATCTTTAAGGCAGTAGAAACTCAACATTTGTTTAGATATTAATGGAAGAGATATAACCTGGTTGTATAATTCTTGTTGAATATCAACTTTAAATTATATTATGTATCAGAAAAAATAAAATTCAATAAAGATTGCAATAATTAGTTTGTGTCACTGAACTTAAATGTAAACTTGTAATTATGTTGATAATCTAATATACTTTTTCCTGAATATATCCTTTGACCATTCTCATGCATAGATTTAATACGTTAAGTAAGAACTTCAGCATTTAAAAATACACAATAATTTATTATATAAAGTTAAAAGTAAAACACACAACTAAAAACTCTATGCAATTAAAACTCTACATGTTTCAGTGGGGAAAAATTCAACTGTCTTCAGAAGACTAGAAGAAACACAGGAAATTTCATTTTTATACAAGCTAGTGTATGTGTACAATTTGCATTTGTAAAGTGCCCTCTACAGAATAGATTTCCAAAAATTCACTTCTGTGGCACCCTGGCCTAAATCTCTTTTCAAAATCATTTTATGTTTAACCATTTCTAGAGATTCTTTTATGTTTAATTTATTTTCAACTTAACTTCTTTAAGTATTTGAAGCTTATCCTATTCAATGTTATGCAAAGAGTTTGCCATATGTTCTGTCAAGGCTGAATCACTAGTTTCCAATTTTTCAATGGCATTTTTGTGTTCATTAATTTGAAACTTCAATTTTGTACTTTTCTGTCCAATATAATTCAAGCTATAACTGCAAGAGATTTTATTTATTCCACATTTATCCTTTAATCAAATTTTGCCTTTAATACCATTAATGATATTCATTAGTTTTAACTGAGAATAAAGGCTAATAGACAAGTACTGTTTTTCATGAACACCTTACCTATTTTTGTTGACAGTGATTGAACATAAAGCAAATATATTATTTCTTTATTAACCTTCTTATTATCTGTAATCTGGTATATTCTGAAGTTTGTATATTAATTACAATTTTTATAAATCTTATCTATAATATATGGTTCATAACTAATTTGAAATCAATAACCAGAGAGTTATCATAAAGACAAGTTCAAACAGTTATAGCTATAACTAAAATTCTAAATGAGCCAAAAATTGAATAAGAGGCAATAAAAGATATGAGTAGTTTAAATAGTGTCATTGTTATTTTTTAAAAACTGTGTTATGATTAATTTTTAATCTGCAAAAAAGCAAAGAAAATTCTTAACTATTATAGCTTTGTGTTTGAGCTGAGCACACTTCAGAATTATTAGTTGTTTTTTGAGGGGGGTTTACTTTTAAAAAAATTCTAATATCTAATTTGTACTTTATGGTAGAGCATGTTGTAGATAAAATAAATTTAGAGGGCATTTGTTTCTGTAAAGAAAAAGAAGCATCATTATAACTAATTTTTATTCCTAAATATCCAATTTAGGTTTTAGTTAAACATTTAGCTACCTTCCAGCTTTACACTTTTATGTTTTGCTATGAATGCATTATGCAAACAAATTGCATTACAAAATATAGTATTTATGTGAAATAAGAATATTTATATTATGTACTATGTCATTGCTTCAAAAATTGTTTTACAGTGAAAAGGGGTCTAAATTTCGAAATTAAATGATTATATACAACATCTTATAAATATGCAATACAAATATTTTAAGTGTACATAGAATACTACAAAAATATATATTGAAAGATCATACTAGAATTTAATAGCTTTAATTTTATATTATAGATCAACTAACATTGAAACTTCTTCCACAATCATAAAACTCAAAAAGAGAAAACACTGTTATCAATAAATTGTATACTCAATAAGCTACAGTTATAAGATTTTATACTTCTTGCTGGGTGATGGCTTTGACATCAAAACTTTGTTAATTACATAGAGGATTTAATAGGTTCTTTATGTTTATTTTTTCATGACAGGAGAGTTACTGAGTTAAATAACTGCTTTTATTTTCCAATAACAATATAGCACTTGCAAACCTGTAGTGTGTAGCTTTTGACTGATGAGTTTATACCAGTGCTCACATGAATAGGTAAATTTATTATATGGATGGTTACAGAAGTGAGTCTGTTTAGAAAAAGGTAATTGAGTGTAATTGCTTGACCCTTTTTGATACAGTTGTGATTGTCAAACATTTGGACTGGTTTGTTCTGAAAGGTTTCATTGGGGAATGATAATGTATATAGGTTCAAAAAATTGAATTAGGAGCATGATTTGTAGTAAATTGAGAGCTTGTAAGATTTGAGAGAAACATTTTGGTCCAGTAGAATTAGGAAATAATGTTACCTGCATATAGCATCTTCCTCTTATTATTCATTTTCCAAATGTTTATTTTTGGTAGGTTCTGTTTTTTATTTGTAGATGTTTATATCTTTTGATGTTGAAAATATAAGTGTACTTGTGTTTGATGCTTTAGATATGAATGTCTAAATTAACTGAAATATATAGGTTTTTAGATAATGATGCATAATCTTATTTAATAGATTAGGAGCACAAATAAATGAACCTAAGAAGACTGTCAGGTTATAATTCAGTCCCAATTTCTTGTAGGATTTGCTATTGATTTAGCTCAACTTGTCACAGAATGGAATATTTATATCTTATGCATTGTTTGGTGATCAGAATATTATGTTGGTTGTTGAAATGACAGAAATTGTGACAAGTGAACAAGATCTTCTACACCTAATTTAGCTTTTAGCATTACCAATTACATTTTGTTTTTGATATGATTCTGTAAAGCTTGAATTTCTGTCAATATTTAACTGGTTTCATCAGGAGAAATTCTGATGAAAAGTGAGTAAAGAAAAGTCCTGCTGTCAGGGTTTTATGTATATGTGGGCTGAGGATTCTTCTACAGTAGGTGTCTGTGACTTGTTGGCAATAAATTCGACAATAAATGGACAGCACACACTCCACTTGTTTTAAAATAATATATTCAAAACAAGTTAAATGTATGTACAAAATTCCTTACACTGGATATCACAGTTGTATCTCAAACTCTAAATAGTTCTCTTATTCTTGTCAAAAGTCCACTTATGCTGATTCATTTACTTTAGAATCCAATTGACAAGACAAACTATTTTTCTCTACTCTTATCACAATAGTATCACTGAATAATTCACTTATGCTACCCTGTGGGTTACCACAGTTGTATCCTAAACTTTAAATAATTATCTCCTTTTCATCAAAGTCCACACAGACAGGTTCAATTACTTTAGAACACCCTTTGACAAGACAAATTATTCTCCTTATCACTACTAAACTGTGAAACTCACTTTAAAATACTGCTCGTTATGATTAATCACTCACATGCCAGCTAACTTCACGTTTTCAAACTTTTTTTCTGAATGAATTGCACTTCACTTTTTCTTTCTACTTTATTTCTTGATTTGTGCTTGCGAGCCATCTATATAAATACTTTATTCACTGAGGTCTCGATTTTTTGACAAATTACGCGAGCGGAGCTGATTTAACAATACCTTAGTTAAGGTAACGAGAAAAATATCAAAGGTTCGAGTTTTGTGACATCAACAATATTAGTAAAGCCAAGACAACAATGTTATTACAAACACAACGTATGACTCTTACCAAGTTATGTAACCAAATTTGTCATAACTATGGCCTTTAAAATGATTAACCTTTAACACAATTGTTATAAAAAACTAAACAATCATTAAATATTAACTCACAAAATAAAAAATAATGCCTACAATAAACAGTCTTGTGTGTCAAACAACTGCAGTAAGATTGAAATTATTTTTGGAGATTGCTGGTTGTAATAAATGTATAAATGCACCAGTACATACTTATTCAAATGTAGAAGTTTGGCTGACTCTAGTCTCTCACAGAAGCAATTACCTATCATTGCATACTAATTTTGGAATGATTTATTGTAATAACTTTTAATGAACCACTTCATTAAAATTTCAAGAATTCTAAACTCTCACTATTATATCAATTGAAGATTCCTGCTTTCAAGAAAGGATTTACTATAAAACTTCAATGAATACAAGTAAAATTACCTCTTTTAAGATTGTTACAAATGTACAAAATATCCAGTTGAACCTGGGAGTGGTAGTGTATGGACAGTCTAAAGGTATTTATCTATTATGAAAATTGTGAAATTATCTTTTTTGTAATTTTTAATTAGATAACTGTTTTCTCTTAAGGTTACCAATGCCATAATCATTATTTGGTTTGGTTAGCATGATACAGGTTACTTTTTAAAAATAAATTGTTGAGAAAGCTTATTTCCTAGAAAAATACTCATAATTTTCCACAGCTTATATATGAACAGTTTGCTGTGTATGGTTTCTGGTTTGTTTTAATATTAATAATGAATAAACTTAGTATTCTCAAAAATTGTTTAATTTCAAAGCCTAAGTTCAAGGGAGGTCCAGTTCAATCTACACTTTGATCAACGTGTGTTACTGGGTTATACTAGTTTTGGAGAATTCCACTTCTCGTCAGTAACCCTGAACACAAGTTAACCAGAGATAAGTTGGGCTATGATATAGAAACTTTGAAATTAAACAATTTTTGGAATAAGTTTATTTATGCTATTGTGAGGCTATATATAATGTGAAAAACTGAATACTGGCCATTGGCACTTTTTCTTCACTTCACCCATCCAGTGTCTAAGTTTTTCTCATAGTGAGTACAAAGCACATTCACACCAACAGTATGTTTGTTTTAGTATTGATTAATAATTTGGTATATTATTTAAGAGACTTTCCTATCTATGTTTTCTTTTTATTCAAACTTGGTACCAAGGGAAGCTTAAAATTTGAAAAAGATACCCAGGTTTAGTTCTGACTTGTAAATGGCATGTTTTACCAGTTTGGGATATTTGTTTAATATACTAAGCTTAGTTCTGAAGATTTGTCTCAAGGAATACACTAGCTGTTATGTACTTTTATTTTAATTTATTCATTGGTCACTTGAAGATGTATAATTAGGCAAAAAACGTTTTCAAGCATTATTACAACACCCAGTAACTGTATTATTGAAGAAATGTAACTAATATGACCTGAATACTACATTTTTGTTGAATAATTAGTTATAAAGATGATTTTGGGGACTTTCTAAAGTGAAATTTGTCTTCCAACATTTTTTATCAGAAATTATTTTTTCAGAAAAATATCTGGTA